TAAAGGGGGGGGGGGGAAATTAAACTGAAGTCCACAACAGGCTCAGGAATTTGTTCCACTTATTAATTGAAAACAAAAGCAAGTCACTTGTGTTCCACTGTCCCCGGATTGTCCTCCTTGCATTGTTCCAGATCTCTTTCATTCCACCCCCGGAGATTTCCCTCCTCTGTATTTTCAGCTGAATTTATTTAGGTTCCTTCTGAGTCTCATCCCAGAGGCAGCTCTTGTTGGGAATCAAGTTGCAGGGTCAGCCCTGTGGCTTGGCCTTCTGCAGGCCTGCCTGAGGCCCTGTGCTTAACCAGGTCATGGAATGGTTTGGGTTGGAAGGGACCTTAAAGCCCATCCAGTGCCACCTTCCACTAGCCCAGGTTGCTCCAACCTGGCCTTGGACACTTCCAGGGATCCAGGGGCAGCCACAGCTTCTCTGCCCAACCTGGGCCAGGGCCTCCCCACCCTCTCAGCCAGGAATTCCTTCCCAGTATCCCATCTAACCCTGCCCTCTTTCAGCTTAAATCCAGTCCCCCTTGTTGAGCACAAGATGTAGGCAGGACCCGCAAAGGGAATTCCCAAACATTTTCTAGCATTAATTTCTGCCTCCTCAGTAACTCAAAGCTCCTCTGGCAGTTTTCCTGCATGGAAGTGGTGTCTGGGTAGGACCTGCCAGCCTGGAAACAGTCCCAAGAAGTGTCTAAAGCAGGGCTGGGAGGGAGTGTAGGTTGTGTTGGTGCTTGGTGACAACACCCAAGATGTTGCCCAGAGAAACTGTGGCTGCCTCTGGATCCCTGGAAGTGTCCAAGGCCAGGTTGGAGCAACCTGGTCTAGTTGAAGGTGTCCCTGCCCGTGCAGGGGGTGGAACAAAGTGGTCTTTCAGGTTCTTCCCAACCTAAACCCTTCTGGGATTGTGTCCTCCTGTCTCTAACCATGTTTTAAGGAGGTTGTTGCCCCTTTCAGTTTTCCCAGTTTTCAGTATCCCCCAAAACCTCTGCTCTTTGCCCACTTTTGCTCTTGTGGATGAAGAAGTGGCTGGGAAGGCAGTGGAATATCCATGTCCAGGTGGGGGTTGAGCACAGGGAACCCAGTGAGGCTCTGGGATGCAGGGGGAGGGCGAAAGTGTGGAACGTTCCCCACGGACACATTTGTGCCTCTGCCTGAGCCACCACTCCCTTTGTGCCACTTGGGAACTGGCAGAGGCACCTGTGGATCCACCAGAGGAGCACTGAGGGCACTTGGGTTGTTCAACTGGAGAAGAGGAGGCTCAGGGGAGGCTTCATCGGGGTCTGCAGCTTCCTCTGAGGGGCAGCTCCATCTCTGCTCTGTGTGACCAGGGACAGCACCCAGGGAATGGCTGGAGCTGTGCCAGGGCAGGCTCAGGTTGGATCTCAGGGAAAGGTTCTTCCCCCAGAGGCTGGTTGGGCACTGCCCAGGCTCCCCAGGGCAGTGGGCACAGCCCCAAGGCTGCCAGAGCTCCAGGAGGGTTTGGCTGATCCTCTGGGGCACAGGGGGGGAGTCTTGGGGCTGGGCCTGTGCAGGGCCAGGAGCTGGACTGGATGATCCTGATGGGTCCCTTCCAACTCAGGATATCCTGTGATTTTATGACCCGTGGCACAGCTGGATATTTGTCTGTGGCATCCCTATTTTTAGTGGTTTGGCTTCTTGGTGTGCACCAGCTTTGGTTTGCCCCTATTTTGGGGGATAAACTTTGCAGTAACTCCAGGCTGCAGATGGCAACTCCTGATGCATTTGTGGCTTTCCTGGAAAGATTTTTTCCAGTTGACCTTTTTTTTTAAAAAAAAAAAAAGGGGAAAAAAAAAAAGAAGTGGATTTTTAATGAATGCAGAAATTGTGAAACTTAACAATCCAATCCAAGAAATTTGAAAGTCATCTTCAATGGTTTAATGAGTGCACTTAAAAAAAATATAAACCAGACAGATCTGTCACTGAGCAGAGCCTTGAGTGGGGAGAATTACAGCCTGCCCTGAAATGATCAGATAAGTGCATGTGGGACAGACCACTCTTTCTCAGCCTTTTTTAATCAAAAACCTTTTTGTGGAGGAGCTTTTTGACCAGCAATTTTTTATAGCAAAATTAAAAAAAAAAAAAAAAAAAGAAGGCAGCCTGAAGGATCATTTTCTATAGTTTCTGTCCCAGTTCTGTGTTGTTACAACCAGGAGAAGGAACAGCCCAAAGCAATTCTGAGTTGTGTTTTCTTTCCCCTCGCTGTATTTTTTTATTGTGCTGTCGTGATTATTAATGGTATAAACACTCAGGGAAGATGATTTTCCTTTTAGAGTGTTTTTTTTGTGCGTCACCCTTAATGCCTTTTGAATTATCAGTTGTTTCAGGATAGTTCCCTGAAGATCCAGGAGGGCTGTGGGAGCAGAGTGGATGTGCAGGAGAAATGGGATTGAGGGGGAGCAGCTGGAGGGACCTGTAGATCCAGAGGAAGGCAGTGGGTATCCCAAAGATTTGTCAGGAAAGAAGTAAGGAGAATAATGCCCCAGATGTGTTGATTTTGGAAGGGAAATTATCTGTATTGAAGGTGCTCAGGGAGTGGATCAGGTGAGAGCCAGAGTTGGCCTTGAGGACACTGGGAATTGCTGGGTAGGTCACACTGGACACACATCGAGGATTTGGGATCACAAGGGTGAATTTTCCAGGCTGCTGTGGTCTCCTGGCAGCTGAAGGAACACCTGAGGAAGTTGGATCTCTGCCAGAACCAAGGGACTGAGGGTGGTGACAGTGGAGTTCGGGGCTTGAGGGGTGTTTTGACACGACTGGGAGGGAGAGTTTTGTTCTTTGTGCCGGGAACCAGAGTTGGAACTGATGTGGAAGGTGATGATGGTGGAGTTTGGGACTTGAGGGGTGTTTTGACATGACTGGAAGGGAGAGGTTTGTTCTTTGTGCCACCAAACCGAGTCCTGACGTTGTTTGAGTGGAGAGTCACCACTAATCACTGAGTGTTATTGATGTGATGATGTTCAACCCAGAGCCACAAGGTGACATCCCATAATGTCAGAGTTCCAGAGTTCCAGGACATCCTGGAACTTTGGAGTGTGTTGCACCTGGGTCTGGCTTGGCTGTTCCCTGTTCACTTGTGTTTTGGAGGGAGGATGGAAATCAAGGATGTTGGCTCTTGGAGGGAGGACTGGGAGAATTCGGAAGGGAAAATACAAAATCTGAGTTTAAATCTGAGTTTAAATCTGACTCAGCATCTGCTGGGGTTTGTTGCTGCCTGAACACCAACTACTTCTTTTTTTTTTTAACTAAAGAAGAATAATAAAAAGGTTTTAATCATCAACCTTAATGTCTTAGATTTGCCATTTCCAAAGAGGGTTTTGCCTGGAGTTTGTAAGTAATTTTGAGTTGTTTTTTTCCCCCCCCCCATTGACAGGTGCATACACACATTTGAGTGCAAACCGATTAATTTGCACTCGAAATTACTATTTTTTTTTAAAATTACCTATATACCTGAGTACAAACACAACTCACCTGTTTTTATTTTCTCGTTGTGTGGAGTTATCAAACTTGAATTAAGAGTGAGTTTGTGTCGTTGGGTTTGCTGAGGCCCTGCAGAGAGGCCTTTTCAGCACTAGATGGCACTCGGGCTCCAAATTTCAGGTTTTCCCGGCCACAACTCCTTGAAACTTTAAGGAAAAACCACCAGCACCGCATTAGTGGTGGTGCCTTTCATGGAATTTGAGGAAGTTCTCTTTTTTTTTTTTTTTTCACCTTTAGCACCAACCAGTGAGTGAGGAAGGCAACGTGGTCACCTTTGAAGGCTTCTACTCCTGGGATCTGGCTTATTTTACACTGAGTTTTAAACAGGTTTAGTGGCATTTATTTGGCATTTTTCTTGTGCATTTTCTTTACATTTATTTGGCATTTTTGTTTTGCATTTTACTGACATTTTTGGGGCTTTTTTTTTTTTTTTTATTTTATTTGCATTTATTTAGCATTTTTGTTTTGACCGTTGGGAATCTTTAACTGAAACTGTCGAATTGAAATTGCCTGGGTAGGTTTTAAAGAATAATAATTAAGTAAATTATTGAGTAAAATTCTGCAGCTTTTAGTCCTGTCTTGGTATTTTTTTCTGTTTCCTTGAGACCTTTGTGGATTGGAGAGGTGGGATTCTCCAGAGCTCCTTGTGAGCACACATCACACCAAGGGATCTCATGACTTGCTGCAGGAGCATGTCCAGTTGGATTCATGGAATTCTAATTCTTTCTGAAGTGCTACTTGTCATTGTGATTAATAATTCTTTAAAAATTTCATTCTTGTTACAGCTCTGCCATTCCCACCCCTTTATCTCTAATTCCTGCCTGGAATCCAGTGTATAATTAATTTGGCCTTAATTGCTGACACAAACTCAGATTCCATAAAACTCACTACAAAAATCCTTTTGGACTGGGAGAAAATTCAGGTTTGGGAGCCAACAGTGCTTCTCAAAAATACTAATGACTTCAATCCATAAAAAATACCTGTATTTACTGTAAAAAAAAAAGGAAAACAACCCCCTGAAACCCCGCATCCTTTCAGGGTGTGACCGGTTGGTCCCTCTGCTTTCTAGAGAAACATTTGATTTGAAGGAGAGAAATTTAGTTTGAGTTTCCACCTTTAAATTTACCCTGAAGCTGAATGAGGGCAGGGTTAGGTGGGATATTGGGAAGGAATTCCTGGCTGGGAGGGTGGGGAGGCCCTGGCCCAGGTTGGCCAGAGAGGCTGTGGCTGCCCCTGGATCCCTGGAAGTGTCCAGGGTTTCAGATCCACCAGTGCTGGGTTGGTTCTCATCCCTCAGGGAACATCAAACTGGTGGAGAGAGAAAGGTCGGAATAGAAACGTTTTCAGGAGAAACATTTTCAAACCTTGAGTTCGGTGCTTGGTTTATAGAAAGAGAAATCCCATCTGTTCCCTTTTAAAGTTCATATTTTGGGTAGTTCTCGTGAGCCTGTGACAGTGACAGACCTTGGGACCTTGACCAAGTGTTGGCATCTTCTCCCCAGGTCTGTCTACGATGGGGAAGAACACGGTCGGTTCATGGAGAAACTGGAAGCTCGGATCCGGAACCACGACCGGGAGATCGAGAAAATGTGCAACTTCCACTACCAGGGATTCGTGGATTCCATCACGGAGCTGCTCAAGGTCAGAGGAGAAGCTCAAAAACTGAAGGTGAGAGAAAAGTCACGGCCTTGGGCAACTCATTTTTGGTTGATCCTGCTTGAGCAAGAGGCTGGGACCAAGTGGCCCAACCTCAACTACTCTGGGATTTTCTGAAACTATGCTCTTATCTGTTCTCTGCATTTTTCCTCTCTTCTTTACACTGTTAAAAAATAAATATATATATATATATATATATATCTCCTCATTCTTCCTGTAGAAATAGGTTGGTCATTCAGAATTTGATAATTATTCGAGCAAACTGGACCAGGGTGGTGCATTAAAAATGTGATAAAACTTAAAGCTAAGCCCGTTATTTGTTAGGAAATGTGCTTTTACTGGGGTGCCTGACCCCAAATTTCTCAAGCAAAAATAGGTCTGTGGCCTTTAAATCTGTGCAGGAATGTGAGAGAAGGGAGGAATTGACCTTTTCCTTGTAGAACTCTATTTGTATTTGTAAATATAATATGTGTATATGTTCCACGTATATAATATATGTGAGATGTGTGGAAAAAGCCCTTTGTAGGATGAGAATGTGGATGAGTGGTGGGAAGGAAGCTGGACAGACTCCCAGGGGAGAAAAGGAGCAGGAGGTTGGAGCTGTTCTACACCTTGGACCAGGTGGGCTTGGAGTTTAAGCTTGGCTTTGTGCCTTAAAATACAAGTATGCCCCAGTTTGGGGAGGATAAAACAGCACATCAGTGATTTAATTGGGGTCACAGGATCTTCCAGATTTTTCTGCCTGAGGCAGAACAGGGCAGGGAGAGGCTCCTGTGCTGTCCCTTTTGTGGCAGCAAGGTGTGACCTTGAGTGGGAAACCAAACCCAAGCTCCCAGAAGAGTCACTGAGTGCATGGAATTGAGTCCTGTGACACCCAAAAATTTGTGGGTTGTCTCCAGGGAGCAGCACAGCAAGACTTTCTGGCTGAGTGGAGCTTGTCCTGTGGTGTTCCAGGAGGATGGGAGACTCTTCAATGGGTATTTGAGAAGCTGAAGTTACAAATAACGAGGGGAAAAAAATACCTCAGAAAAGCAAGTTTTCTGGAAAAGGAAGAAGAATCCTAATTTCAGTGTGCTGACTGTGCTTTAAATACGTTTATTAATTAATTTAAAGCCGCCTCTGGCATTTCCTAACAGGCTTCTAATACCACATACACAGTATCTCCATCCCAGAAATGGCCACGTGATCACAGGAACACCTTCCTGAGGGATGTCCTGAGGTGGATTCATCCAGCAGGATGAGGCCATTGGAAATACCATGAAATAAGTCCTTTTTTTTTCCCCTCCTCCTCTTTTTTTTAAGCCATTGTTTGGAGCCAAGAATTCCACATTGTTTGTTTGCAAAGGCTTGGTGCTGGTTCCCATTCTGCAAACAGCTCCTTTGTTGGTGGCTCACTGGGAAGTCCATCCCTGTCCCCTCAGGATCTCTCTTGATTTCCACGACTTTTGTGATCTATAAAACGGCACATGGGAAAAATATCCCCAGAAAGTTTCTCTCTGAAAGGCTGAGCCCTCTTTTGTGAGGGTTTCCCCCGGGAATCATCTGTGGATCGAGTGGTGAGAGTGGGTTTTGTTCCAGCCATTCATCCTCCATTTGATCTTGGGCTCTTTCTCGGTGGTGCTGGGCTTTGAACAGACATTGCAACCAGCCATGAAATGAAAGCCCTCCCTGTCACACTCCCCCCAGGATGTTTCTTTACTCGTGTGCTTTTGGCTCTGGGGTGTTTTGGGGGATATTGTGTTTGCAGAGACGTCGGTGGTGTTGTTTTAGGAGGGCACAGGCTGAACATGAGCTGGTTGCCTTGCCCTGCTCGTGTGTCACACGACCCTCAGGGTTTTGAGGTTGTGTTTCAGGTGGCCCCAAATGAACTAGAACCTAATCAGGACCCAATCACTACATTTTCTGTCCTAGTTTTTTTTTTTCTTTCCCTGAGAGGACCTGGTGCTGAATTGGGAAGTTTTCTCTCCTCAAACATGAGCTCAGGTGGCCAAGAAGGCCAAGGGCATCCTGAGTGATATCAAAAATGTGGTCACAGTCCCAGGGCAATGACTGTTCCCCTTTGGTGGCACTGCTGGGGCACTTCCAGCCCTGGGGGCAGCTCTGGGACCCTCAGACAGGAGAGACATGGAGGGACTGGAGTGTGTGCAGGGAAGGGAACGGAGCTGGGAAGGGGCTGGAGCAGCAGGAGCAGCTGAGGGAGCTGGGGGGGCTCAGCCTGGAGAAAAGGAGGCTCAGGGGGGACCTTCTGGCTCTGCAACTCCCTGACAGGAGGGGGAAGTCGAGCTCTGCTCCTCAAAAAAAAAGGTGACAGGACAAGGGAAATCGGCCTCAAGTTGCATCAGAGGAGGTTTACATTGGATATTGGGGAAAATTCCTTCCTGGAAAGGGCTCTCCAGCCCTGGCCCAGCTGCCCAGGGCAGTGGTGGAGTCCCCATCCCTGGAGGGATTTAAAATACCTGTGGAAGTGGCCCTTGGGGACACGGGTCAGTGGTGGCCTTGGCAGTGCTGGGGGAATGGTTGGACTGGATGATCTTTTCCAACCATAATGAATTTATAATTCCATGATGAGCAGAGGAGCCCCCCCTGCCATGGATTTCTGCAGGAGGCAACACTGTGTTGTTTTCAGGAGGTGCTGGGTCACTATTAATCATCTATTTATATATATATATATAAAGTAACTTAATTGAAAATACATGGGATGTGTTTTTTAAAAGGCACCTCCTTAATTTATATGATATTTAAACCATAACATTTTTAAACCAAACTTTTTTTTAGGTTTTTTTGCGTTTTCTTACTCTTTTTTTAAAACTATGTTGCCTCACTCTGGTAATTCTCTTTCCTTTTGATTTCTTACTTGGCTTTCCTTTTACTTACAAGGGAAATCTCCATGCTTTGGGATTTTTTTCATTATACATCTTTAATGTTTTCACAACTTGTACTGCACATTCTCCCTCACTGGGGATTGAGCAGGATGGTGGTGACCTGATCTCAATCCTATAAATACCTGGGACTGCTGGGTCTTGGAAACCATGGACCAGTCTGGCTGTTCCATCCCATAAAGGATCCAGTGGAAATTAAAAGTTCAGAGATGGGTTTTACATTAGGATGGTTTAACTTGGAAGACACAGCTCAAGGTGCAAAGGATCCCAAAGTCTCAGGGCTGGTGGCAACCTCAAGAACTCATCTAATCCACCCAATCCAATCCAAGTTGTTCTTGTTTCCCAGAGAAGCTGTGGCTACCCCTGGATCCCTGGAAGTGTCCCAGGCCAGGTTGGAGCAACCTGGGCTAGTGGAAGGTGTCCCTGCCCATGGCAAGGGTGGAGTGAGATGGTCTTTATGGTCTCTCCCAACCTAAACCATTCTGGGATTTAACTGTGTCATTCTTGATGGATTTTTATCCCACCTCTCCAATATTGGCTCTCCTTCCTTCTCTGAGAAACTCTGGTCACGTGGATGAAAAGTCTTTTTTTATGGTCTCCTGCTTAAAAAAGGGATTATTCCTTCTTGGTTTTGTGGAATCACAGGATTGTTTAGGATGGAAAAGCCCTCCAAGATCATCCAGTCCAACCATTCCCCGAGCACTGCCAAGGCCACCACTAACCCATGTCCCCAAGTGCCACATCCACAGGGATTTTAAATCCCTCCAGGGATGGGGACTCCACCACTGCCCTGGGCAGCTGTGCCAGGGCTGGACAACCCTTTCCATGAAGAAATTTTCCCCAATATCCAACTTAAACCTCTTCTGGTGCAACTTGAGACCGTTTCCCCTTGTCCTGTCGCATTTTTTTGGGGAGCAGAGCCTGACCCCCCCCCGGCTTCCCCCTCCTGTCAGGGAGTTGCAGAGCCAGAAGTTCCCCCACAGCCTTCTCCAGGTTGTGGGAATGTTCTTCTTTGGTCTTGTCCTCTGAAAGCCAGGCAGCCCCAAATCCATCCCAGGGGGTTGTGTTTTCCAGGCATCTCATTTTCACTTTCCTTTTTTGAAGTCCTTGCAATTGGTGGGGATTGGGGATTTTTTTGGTGGTAAGTGTTGTCTCTGAGCTGGGGCAGGGAACTGGTCACCAGGGAAATGGTGCAGGAATGTTTTTAGTGGAGGGGGACAAAGATGATGAAGGGATGGAGCATCTCTGGGAGCAGGAAAGGCTGAGGGAGCAGGGGTTGTTCAGCCTCCAGAGGAGACACTGAAGGGACCTCATCCACGTCTGGCAGTGCCTGCAGGGAGGGGGCAGAGGATGGACCAGGATCTGCTCATGGTGCCCAGCAATGGCACAAGAGGAACGGGCAGGAACTGATGCCCAGGAAGTTCCACCTGGACACGAGGAAGAACTTTAACTGTGAGCACTGAACAGAGACCAGAGAGGGTGTGGAGTCTCCTCACTGGAGATATTCCAGACCCATCAGGACACAATGTGCTCTGGGATGGCCCTGCTGGACCAGCTGACCTGCTGTGGTCCCTCCCAGCCTGACCCATTCTGGAATTCTTTGAAGTTCTGAGTTGTGGGGGGGGAGAAAATGAGAAGGGAGCAATTTTTATTGGTTGGTGCATCCAGATGAAGGCAGAGCTGATTAAAATGAGGAGGTGGCTTGGAGCTCAGGGAATCTCATCTCCACCTGTGCAAAACCAAGCAGGGATCTCACTGCCCCAGGGTGTGGAGATGCCCTCAGAGCCCAGCACTGGATTCCCATAGGGATTGGATTAGTCGGGGGAGAATGACTGAGGTGGTGGATAGCAAACCCAGACTGGGAAGTTCATGAGTTGCCAGTTGGAAGGATCACTCCGTAGTTGCTCTCTCTTCCTTTGGGAGGTGGAAGTCAGTGGGATGTGGGTGTAGGACAGGGATGGAGTCGGCGCATCCCTGCAGGGTCACGCCGGTGCTCTTGGGTCCATTCCCAGGATTCCTCTCCAGCACCCTTTACTCCTCTTGCTCCTCACTCTGACACTCTCTAAATGATCTCAGAGTGGTGTTAAACCCCCCAAACCCTACTCTGTGCCACATGTTCCAGAAGTAGATGGATGAAGTAACAACTGGAGTATCCCATAAGCCCCTCTCATGATCCCGGCGTCTCGTCCTTCCCGTGTTCCCACCTGTTGTCTGTCCCCCCTCGCTGGGAGTCTGCCTTAGATTATCAAATCTCCTCATCTGAAAAGCCTCCACTTGGCTACACAGAGTCTGTATAAATAATCATCTCTTTTTTTCATGGAGACTTTAAGAACAAACCAAAACACGACTCGCTGCCCCCTGAAAAAACTCGGAGTGTGCAAGGACAGACGGTCTCCTGACTTTTTTTTTCCTGGAGCTGGGATTGATATGTAATTTTAATAGAACACTAGTACAGCCTTGGCATTATTTTAGGAGCAGTTTTAAATTACCCTACATGGATTCCTTTTTCCTGGTGGGATTTTTCAGGATATAAGCAAATAAAGTAATCTTTGGAAGAGATGCTGCGCTCCCGCTTGTAAAAAATCTCGATACATCATGAAGGAAATGAGCAGTTTTGGCAGAGGGCAAAGAGCCAGGAGAGCTGAAGCTACTGCAGGAGGGGGGAGAGATGTGAGGCAGATGCTGTGGAGAAAGTGTGTGTGGGGAAATCATGGGATGATTCCTCTTTCTTGCATCATGGGAAGCTTAAAAACCAGTGTGGCCGGTGTTAAAATAAGAGGAAACTTGTGAGGTTTGACGACTCTGCTCGTTGAGGCAACACAGTGGGAGATGACCTGGTAGAGGCTGGATCAGTGTGGGAGATCCAGCAGGGAAGAAAATGGATCCTGGGTCAAATTTATGAATGTTAATAGAAAGCTCCCCTCCTGTCTGAACTGTAGTTGCCTTGTGGTGCCCTCGAAAAGGAAGGAGATCATGGAATCATCAAGGTTGGAAAGACCTTTGAGGTCATCAAGTCCAACCATCAACCTGACACCACCACCACTGAGTCATGTCCCCAAGGGCCACATCCACGTGTTTTTTGGACACTTCCAGGGATGGGGACTCCATCCCTGCCCTGGGCAGCTGTGCCAGGGCTGGACAACCCTTTCCAGGATATTCCTGACAATATTCCTTTCCTCTGCCGTTGCTGCTGCTCCTGCACCATCCGCGTTCTGGTGGATCATTGGAGATCACTGCATGACATTCCTTCACTGGGATTAAAAAGTCAGCCTGTTTCCATCATTGTTGAAAAGGAAACAAAGGTCTCAGGTTGTTTTTTGTGATCTCACGCTCCCGAATATCCTTAGGGAGCTCCGTGTCCCAGTTGGTGCTCTTGTCCAAACTCTGGCAAAGGTTTTGCTTCTGGAACAAGCAAAACTCCTGAAAACACGCAGGAATGAGCTCTGACAGAAATCCAGGAGCGACTCCCACCCTATGGTGAGCCTGTGGAAAACCAGGAACCTCTGAGAGACAGAGGCGAGCCTGGAAATGAATATTTACAACTTCAGTGGCTGTGAAAGGAATATTCTATGGGAAAAAAAAGTAGTTTTATGGCTTTTTGGTCTTAGACTGATGCGAGGCACCTGAATCCTGAGCGGTCCTGCTGGATTTACCTTGGGAATTGGCTGCTTTTGCTGGAGACCTGGAGCTGGGCGTGTTTGCTTGGAAGCTGGTGTAGTTTTTTTAGCAGATGGTGTCTCTGTTTACAAACCTGCTCTTCTCTGGGCTTGGATGAGTGTTCAGGAGAATTCCCAAAGTCATTTTCCTACTTGTTGGCCAAATAATGGGTGAACTGCTAATTTTCCATCCTGATGAGTCCAAAAATCCACTTTGTTCTTTCGTGGGTCTTCACTGAGTCACCTCATGCCCGGGGCTGGGAAGGGCTGGACTGGTGGACTCTTCCTAGTCCAGGGAACTGCAGGTTTGCCAAGTGGGAATTCCTTCAAGTATGAGTCCCAACTTGATGGGATAATACAGGAAGAGGGTTTAAGGAAGGAAATACAGCCCCTTTTTTATCCCAGGTATATAAAAATACCTTTTTCTACCAGGCAGGAAAAGGGAACCAGTGGAAGATGCACCTGAAGATCTAAAAGGAAGTTTTCTAGGTGTTTATATAGATATAAATATTTATAGGTAAAGCCCATGTTGAAAAGTTCTTCCTCACTGTGATATCAAGGAGTTGAAATCTAACTGTAATTTATTTGGTGTTGGGAAGGGCATTTAATTCCTCCACTGGCTTTTAAGATGAGAATCCATGTGAGCATCTGGTAGAAAGTTGGATCCATGAAAACTCCAGGATTTTGTGGCTTCCATGCCACAGTTTTAACTCCTGTTGCTTTTTACTCCTCTCCAGTGGCAGGGAGGGAAATCCTTGTATTTACTGCGTGGCTCTTGGCATCCTGTGTGGAATGAACCATTAAACAGCTTTTTTCCATGGAATGGGAGGTTGGGTGAAGAGTGATGGTGTTTATGCACAGTTTGGTTTTATGGGAAAACCGTTGTCCTGATTTATTGATGGGCTTTGTCTTTTCTCCCCAATATTCCTGCAGAACCAAGTGACGGACACCAACCGGAAGCTGCAGAACGAGGGGAAAGAAGTAAGCGATCCACTCATGGAATCATGGAATGGTTGGGGTTGGAAGGGACCACAAAGACCATCTCCACTATCCCAGGTTGCTCCAAGCCCACTCCAACCTGACCTTGAATCCTTGTTTCACCCAGGTTTTTCTGTTGGAGGCTGAGCCTTTAAAAATCCCTGTTAGTTTGGGAAGAATCCCCTTGGGAACGAGCAGCCACATCCTGGCTTTGAGAACCCGGAAAGAGCCACTTGGAGAAGGGAGTAGGGAAGAGATGACTAAAATGGGAAGGGGGAAACAATTTTGTTGGAATTCCCAGGACGTGCTCCCAGGCTGGTGTGTTGATGGCTTTGGTTTTGCTGCTTCCTGAGTTGAAATTCAGGGAACATTTCTGCTGGAAGAACCCAGAGCTGCCTGTGCTCCCTCTTCCAGCAGCTCCCTGGTCTCCCCGGTTATCAGAGCAGGCTTTGTGGTCACCCCACAGTTTGGGTGGTCATGACAAGTGTTTATGGTGTTCAATGGGATTTTTTTTCCCTCTTCCCAAAGCTGATAATTGCCATGGAAGAGCTGAAGCAATGCCGGCTGCAGCAGAGGAACATTTCGGCGACGGTCGATAAACTCACGCTGTGTCTTCCCGGTGAGGAATCTCCACCTGCTCCTGACTTGTGTTTGTTTGAATTCCCAAGCTCTTTGCTTTGTGCTCAAGGCTTCTGTTGTTTTCCTTCTCTTTCCAGTGCTGGAGATGTACAGCAAACTGCGGGAGCAGATGAAATCCAAGAGGTAAATTTTGTGTCGGTTTATGGGTGTTTTATTATTATCCAAACAGTTGTTTTGGGGCTGAGTAAATTCAAGAGGTTCCCAGAGCTTCCAAAATCAGCCTTTCCAGGTTGACTCCTCTGATTTTTGGCTGGTTCTCCTCACAGTCTTGCTCATCCTCTGGGAAATGGGATGGCAGCAGGCTCGGATTTTCTTTTGTGTTAGGTTTTGGAATGAAGTGGATATTCCTTGTTTTTTTGTGGAAGCTCCCTGTTGTTGTGCATGCAATCCATGCATGTTATCAACTAAATTTTATTCTGTGAATGCCATGATGCATAATCTAATATATGCCAATTCTGATATAACCTGAGAGATTCCAATGAATGTGGGTGGAAACCAAACACCTGGAAACATCAGGATGGTGGAAGTTGGGGAGAAATCTTGTTTTGCAGTAGAAATAACTCTTCAGGAGAGTGAACTGAGCTCCAGGGGCTTGGTGTCTCTGAAACCATGAGCTGTAAATCCAGGATTTTCCCCACCCTGCATCTGTTGCATGAAGGATTAAACCATGGCCTGGGATATTTGCTGGAATCCTGGGGGCTGGTTTGTTTAAGCAGCACGGAGCGACTCGGGAGCCCTGGGGGTGGCAAATTGGGCAAAGAGCAGCTGCTGGAAGGAGGGAGGCTGGAAACGTGGCTCCAGCTGGATGCCAGGCAGGGAGAGCAGTGGGATCCCTGGCTGGTGCCTGCCATCCATCATGGGAACAGCACAGAAGGAGCCAGATGTTTGGAACAAGGCGATAACTGATGGGATGAGGGGTTTGTTTTTACACCTCCCCTCCCGCCTCTGCTCCCCGCCGGGGCCCTTGGGCAAACAGATCAGTGGAAGTCCTGGAAGTTGGGCTGCTTGGAGGAGCTTTAGGGAGCTCCCAGAACTGTCCCCCAAGGTCCTCTCTGTCCCTCAGGATGACTCAGGGCAGAGCAGGGCAGGGGGGAGTTTGGCCAAGTGTTTTTAGTGTGTTTATAAGGAACAGAGAGGGGCTTCTCCGCTGGCAGACATGAGGTGGGAGCTGGAGCTGAACACAACCCTGGGAACTCCTGCAGGGAATCCACATGCTGCCCCATTCCCTGCTCTGGATAGCGTTTCCAGGGTCTGCTTCTAAGAATTCCATCTTTTTTTTTTTTTTTTTTGATGTTGGTTCATTTTGAAACAAATAGAAGCTGAAAGCCACATTTAAGGAATATCTGAACCTTGGGCTGTTTTTTTTTTTCCCCTTCTTTCTTTGTCTGGATTTGGTGGCTTCATCCACCAAATGCAGCACAGTATGTGAAGTATTTTTATTTCTGCACCCAGTGTCACTTATAAATCACTTCAGGATGGGCAGCAGTGGGTTGGGTTTTGGGGTTTGGGTGCACAGTCTTGGAGGAATCAAAGGGTTTGTATTTGGGGTGAATAAACCCTGCCAAGTTTCATTCTCCCAAGGCAAACAGAATGAGTTGGGTGATGTTTATAACCCAAAACCTGTGGCCACGAGCTGGAGGTGGAGAATGTAGAATGATCTGATCCCAGAGGAGTGACAAGAACCAGCAGAAGAGATGGAGGGAAAGGTTTTCTTCCCCCATTGTCCAGAATTTAAGGAAGGGACAGAAAGAGCTTTTCTCCCACGGCTGAGACATGTGTGCAAAATGATGGGAAAACCCAAAATCTCTGTCTCCAGAGATTTCTCTCCTGGCTCTGCAGGACTTTGGAGGGATCAGTCTGTTTTATTTCCTCCTGGGTCACTTGTGATGTCCATGTGGTCTCCAAGCAGTAAGAAATAGAATCATAAAATCCCAGAATGGTTTGGATTGGAAAAAAGATAATATAAAGATAATCCAACCCCCTTCCATGGGCAGGGACATGTTCCATTATCCCAGGTTGCTCCAAGCCCCATCCAACCTGGCCTTGGACACTTCCAGGGATCCAGGGGCAGCCACAGCTTCTCTGCCCAACCCGTGCCAGGGCCTCCCAGCCAAGGATTCCTTCCCAATATCCCGTCTAAATCTCCATCTTTCTGTTGGGAAACCATTCCCCCTTGTCCTGTCTCTACAGTTCCTGGTGCAGATTCCCTCTCTGGCTTCCTTGTGGGCCTGAGATGCTTCATGAGAACGTTCATGGATTCCATGGGAGCTCTTCATCCTGCTTGGAGCTGAAAAACCCCTGTAGAGCTGTTCCCTCAAGCAGAGCCTGAGTCTTTCCAGGAAAAAAAAAAAAACAAACCAAAAAGCCACTTCTGACCCTGTTTATCAAAATCCTGCTCCCCCCACTCGGGGAGTGTTCCTGGGATTCAGAGCTGGGAAAGAAATGTCCCCCTCTGGGAGGATGCTCAGAGGTGTCAGGGGATGTGACCCGGGCCCAAACAATACCCTAAAATATATGACCCACCCCATGATTCTGTGGTTCCAGAGCTGGAATTCTTAGTTATATTGACTAATTTCCAGTTAATGTACCTTTTTTGAGGGGAAATGGGATGGAAGTGGCTCCACACATCCCTTCCTTGTTCTTCCCAGGCACTACCCTGCCCTGAAAACCCTGGAGCACTTGGAAGGTGTCCCTGCTCATGACAGGGGTTGGAACTGGATCATCTTTAAGGTCCCTTCCAACCCAAACCATGCCATGATTCTGTGGTTCCAAAAATTCTGAGTTATATTGACTTATTTAAGTTAATGCACCTTTTCTGGGGGGAAAACAGGGTGGAAGTGGCTCCACATGTCCCTTCCTTGTTCTCCTCAGGCACTACCTTACTCTGAAGACCCTGGAGCACCTGGAAGGTGTCCCTTCAGGGACTGGAACTGAGTGATCTTTAAGATCCATTCCAACCCAAACCATGCCACGATTCTGTGGTTCCAGAGCTGAAATTCTTAGTTTTATTGATAATTTCCAGTTAATGCACCTTTTTTGAGGGAAAGTGGGATGGAAGTAGCTCCACATGCCCTTTCCTTGCTCTCCCCAGGCACTACCCTGCCCTGAAGACCCTGGAGCACCTGGAACACACGTACCTGCCCCAGGTGAGCCACTACCGCTTCTGCAAGATCATGGTGGATAACATCCCAAAGCTGCGGGAGGAGATCAAGGAGGTGTCCATGTCAGACCTCAAGGATTTCCTGGAGAGCATCCGGAAGCATTCGGACAAGATTGGAGAGACGGCCATGAAACAGGTAGGGCTGGTTTGTGTGCACACACTCCATGGGGCTTTTTGGGAGGAGGATGGTGGTTCAGTCATCTCAGAGTTATACTTTTCCACTCCCAAGGCAGTAAATTGAATTTTGGAGTAATTTTGCCGCGATTCTTCCTTCTGTGGTTGCTCCCGGATTTTTTTATCCTGATTTTTTTGTACTGTTGCAAAGCGATGATCCGGTTTTCTCGTTGTCTTCTCCCACCTGGAGTTTGGTGTAGGTTCTTAGTAACCTGGAATCTGGGAGGTGCAGTTGGTGTTAGAAACTCGTATTTTCCACTTATCATTTGTGCTGCTGTGCCTGGTTGGAACTGGAAGAACTGGAGACACCAGTGTTGATTTCCCCTAGTTTGGAGTAAAACAGTAGGAGTTCAAGCACTGAATTTAATTTATTTAGCATCTTAAACTTATTTTTAAATGCTGGGTAAACTTGGATTGGGGCTGGATTGCCTTTGCCCAGCCTGTAAAAGATGAACCTGATGAATTGAACATCCCCGTGTGGGTGTTAAATCAGAATTGCCTCTTCCCACTTCTGTTTAATATTCTAGTTTTGAGTTTCAGCACAGTTTATCTTGTCACAGCGGGGGAGCGAAGCTCCCAGTGGCTCTTAAAAGGAACTTTGCTACTTTGATGAAATTCAAATCCACTGGCAGTGAAATGTTACCTCGTATGAGCAGTAAAACACTTCCTCTGATAGTGATGGATGGCTGGGATGTGTTGATTTATGGGAAGGACTCTTGCCATAATTTTTCACGAGATGATAAGGTGGTGCTGTTTATGGTTAGAGGTTCAATTTTCTGTCTTATAAACCCCATCCCAGAGGATTTCTATTAATTGATTTAATTTCCCGTTTTCCCGATGCCTTGTTGTCTTCTCAGCTGCTTTCTGGTATTTTGGGAAAGCAAACCAAGCCTTATATTGTGTCACAGAGGTGTGGGGAGATGCCACTTGGCATCTGAGACTTCAGCAAACCTTTTTAATTCAAACCAAACCCATCTTTCTGAACGTGCAGAAAAACATGCCATGACCTCGACGTGGTTTGGTGGAGCCACAAGTGCAGGGTGGCCGTGGCTGGGGGGGCTCCAGGTGTTGGATTTACCCAGAACTGTTTATAAAACTGCTCTGGTTTTGTTCATTTTGTGGCAGGCAGAGCGTTTTTGGAAGGTTCTTGGTTCAGTGACCTTGGTTGGGCTTGATGACCTTGGTTGGGCTTGTTGACCTTGGTTGGGCTTGATGATCTTGGTTGGGCTTGATGATCTTGGTTGGGCTTGATGACCCTAGTTGGGCTTGATGACCTTGGTTGGGCTTGATGATCTCGGTTGGGTTTGATGATCTCGGTTGGGTTTGATGATCTTGGAGGTCTTTCCCAACATAAATGATTCTGTGATTGCTGACTGGAAAGGAATAGGAGATTCATTTGTTTGGTGTTCAGGCAACGCAGCAAATACACTCTTTAAATAAATAAATAAATTTAAGTTCTCTTAAGGATATTTAGCAATTTTAGACACATGTAAGGGTGCAGATGTTGTGTTGTCTTCTAGTTTCCAGTTTCATGCTCATGGTTCTGGGAGAGACATTTCAACCTCCTGGCCCCTGGTGGCTTTGATGGGTGAGATCTTCCCACGTTTCTGTGGCTGTTTAGGTGACCAGTTTAAAAAAAATTCCATAATTCCCAATTCCTTTTTGGTTTCTTCTGCCCAGAGTTGCTTCTGTAGCTTTGTGTTTCCATCTGTTCTGCATCCATGATCTGCTTCTTCCCGTTCTTCCCGTCCCTCCTGCTCCAGGGGAGAGCTCACGCTCTGCCTGGAGCTCTGTTAATTCTCCACCTCTTGCTCCAAAGGAATCTTGTGGGATGTCCTGCTGTTTTCCTCACCACTTCTGACCCTTCCTCCTCCTCCTCACAACATTTGCCTCCTGCAAATCAGGAGAGGCACTGGGGGGTTGGTGGGAAGTGGCTGCTCCTGCTCTGCCCAGATACGGAAACTGGGAGCAGGGAGTGAAACCAGCTGGAAGTAAAGGGGAGGGAAAAATTGGTTCTTCATCCTGTGGGTGATAGACCTGTGGAACAACATGTGCTCGGTTTTCAGGGAATCATGCAATGGTTTGGGTTGGAAGGGACCTTAAAGCCCATCCAGTGCCACCCCCTGGCATGGACAGGGACACCTTCCACCAGCCCAGGTTGCTCCAACCTGGCCTTGGACACTTCCAGGGATCCAGGGGCAGCCACAGCTTCTCTGCCCAACCTGTGCCAAGGTCTCCCCACCCTCCTGGACAGGAATTCCTTCCCAATATCCTATATATCCCTGCCCTCTGTCTGAAGCCATTCCCCTTGTCCTGTCCCTCCATCCCTTCTCCCAAGTCCCTCTCCAGCTCTCCTTGCCTTTAATTTGCCTACAGACAACACAGGGAATTTTACATCTTCAGTCTCCCCCAAATCCCGCTTTTCTACTGGTTTATGAGAGGGATTTGCAGCCTTGACAAGGGGTTTCCTTCACCCTTTGTGGGAGGAGAGTTGTCTCCCAGCTTGGGCTCCGTGGCTGGATTGTGGATGAAACTCAACTGACCACTTCCACTTCCACGAGCCGACTTGGAGCGATACTGGAATTTGAGCAGGTTTATTCCTGGACAAAATCCACCCCGAGCTGCCCCACGGATGGAGAAGTGAGAGCTGGAGGTTTTGGAGCCCCTGGTTGCGTGGGGTCACTTCCCGTGGCCGTGCCGACAGTGAGGGGCAGGGTCTCCCCTCCCAGGATCGCCGGGATCGCGTCTTGCGTCGCCGGGTCCTTTTCCTCGGTCTGCTGGTTGTGATGGATAACGGCCCTGGAACGGGAGCCGAGCTGGCAGGAGGCCTGGAGAGTCAGGGGAACTGCGATTGGCAGCTCCATCCATTCGGTTTAAATTAGCATCATATAAATTCTTTTAAAATTGTTTGATTTCACCAGCGGGAATGGAAGAGGCCTTGATACAATGGGGAGAGGAAATGGTGTTTTTGTAACATTACAAATCTGAGGCCGACGATGACAAGAGCTGAAAATTTCATTTTGTGATAATCAGAAGGATCTGTCTTGGAGCGCTCGGAGCCGTCGCTGTTTCTGGCCGGGAGTCAAGGATTGGGGGGAACTGGATGGGGGAGAGGTGGATGGGGGGAGCTGGATGGAGGGAGGGAGTGGGATGAGGGAGAGGTGAATGGGGGGAGCTGGATGGAAGGAGTGGGATGAGGGAGAGTGGAATGGGGGGAATGGGATAGAAGGAATAGGATGAGGGGGAGCGGGATGAGGGGAGTGGGATAGAGGGAATGGGATGGGGGGGAGCGGGATGGGGGGAGTGGGATAGAGGGAATGGGATGGGGGAGCAGGATGGGGGGAGCGGGATGGGGGGAGTGGGATGGCGGAGTGGGATGGGGGAGTGGGATGGGGGGAGTGGGATGGGGGGAGTGGGATGGGGAATTGGATGGGGAGAGCTCGGTAGGGTGGGGGGTAGGTGGATTGGGGAGAGCTGGAGGGAAGAGCTGGATGAGGGAAAGCTGGAGGGGGGCAGCTGAATGGGGAGAGCAGGATAAGGGGGAGCAGGATAGGAAGAGCTGGATGGTGGGGAGCTGGATAGGAAGCACTAGATGGGGACAGCTGGATGAGGGGGAGCTGAAGGGGGAGAGCTGGATGTGAGGGAACTGAATAGGAAGAACTGGATGGGGGGAGCTGGGTGAGGGGAGCTCTCCTTGGAGAGGAAGCCCGTGGCAGGCTGAAGTCAAGTGAGACATTCCCGGGGTCAACCGGACTGGAGGGATCTCGCAGCGTGTGGAGAAACCCTAGAGCCTCACTGTACAAACCGATGAGCTCCTTCCCTCCTGTTTTGTTTTGTTTTTTTTATAAATCTGAGTTTTATTACCTTTGGTTCCGGGGGAATTCGCCGCGTTCCAGATCTTGTTCTTAATTACGCGGATGAAAGTGGCCCCGCGCACTTGAACTCCTGCTGGACTTTGGCCCCGTGAACCTGCGTGTGTGTTTTGGTTTTGTTGGTGCAGTTTCAGTTTTTGTTGGTTTTTTTTTTTTTTTCTATTAAGGATCTGAGTCCTGGGCTTGCCAGGAACGAATTACATCTTATTAACACTTGCTGATATCCGGTCTGGGGGGGGGTTTATTATCTCGTTTAATGACTGAAATATGCCGGGCACAGTGCGGGGAGGTCACTTGGGATGGGGCTTCCAGGGCGAGCGCGGTGAGGGGGCCAAGAATAACCCATCCAAAAGCCATTAGTGGATCAAGTCGTCGGGGCAGCCAAAATATCCTCTCGCAGAGATGGAGGCGAGGCAGGAGTTTTATTTTATTGGCGTCGCTCGGATGCGGCGTCGAACTCGATATTTAATAGGTGGGAACCTGGTGTGAGCTCGAAGGGGTCGATGCAGAGTTTGAACAGGTTGGAGTTTCAGCTGTGCTGGTTTGAAGGTGATATTTGCTCTTCCTGCCAACAGATGTTGGTGTCTGTGTCACCTCTGAGCAGTGTCACAGTGAGGTTGGTGTGTCTTTTCCCTCACTGGCAGCAAATATCAACCTGGGGGTGTGAGTGTGGCGCTTAAAAAATCATGGAATGGTTTTAGCTTGGAAGGGATTTTAAACATCATCTTGTTCCACCCCCCTGCCACGGGCAGGGACACCTTCCACTTGCCCAGGTTGCTCCAAGCCCTGTCCAGCCTGGCCTTAGGTACTTCCAGGGATGGTGAATCCACAGTCTCCCTCCAGGCAACAAAAAATGAGGCAAAACATTGCCCAGTGCTGTTCACAACCGAAGTGCTGCTTGGATTTTGGGAGGAATCCAGTTCTGACCGTCAGCTGGAGAAGATGAAGCGCTTCAGAGCGTGGATTAACAACAGCTCCATAGAAAGACAACCATGTCTGTGAAATCAGGGATTCAGATCCAGGGTTTGGATGCCTTCCCACACTTCACTCTGTCCCTGCAGGTCAGAGCTCACTGAGAGCCACTCAAGTA